GTGGGCGCCGTGGTGGTAGACCCGGGCTCGGGCCGCGTGCTGGCCACCGGGCACGACTGCAGCAGTGCCACCAGTCCCCTGTTGCACGCCACCATGGTTTGCGTGGACCTGGTGGCCCAGGGCCAAGGCCGCGGCGCCCACGACCTCACCGCCCACCCCGCTTGCTCCTTTGAGCCGCCTGCTTCCCCCCTGACCGTGAGGCCGGGCGTTGTCCGGAAGCTGGACACCGAAGCCGAGGATGATGAGGACGGGCTCCCCTACGTGTGCACCGGCTACGACCTCTACATCACCCGCGAGCCCTGTGTCATGTGCGCCATGGCCCTCGTGCACGCTCGCATCCGCAGGGTCTTCTATGGGGCACCCTCGCCCGACGGTGCACTGGGCACGCGCTTCCGCCTTCACGCACGGCCGGACCTCAACCACCGCTTCCTGGTGTTCCGTGGTGTGCTGGAGGACCAGTGTCACCGGCTGGACCCTGACATCTAGGCCCATTACCAGGCCTCCGGAGAGCACCCCACCTGAGACCCCAGGAGTATGTCTTCAGTCTAGGCGCACTGCAAGGCCTTCAGGGAGCACCCCATCTGAGACTCTTGGAATTTGTCTTCAGTGTGGGCCCACTGCGAGGCCTCCGGGGAGCACCCCATCCGAGACCCCAGGGATGTGTCTGCAGTCTGGGCGCACTGCAAGGCCTTCAGGGAGCACCCCATCCGAGACCCCAGGGATGTGTCTTCAGTCTGGGCGCACTGCGAGGCCTCCGGGGAGCACCCCATCTTAGACTCCTGGGATATGTCTTCAGTCTAGGTGCACTGCGAGGCCTCCGGGGATGTGTCTTCAAGCAGGTTGTGCGGCACCTCTCCCATGTCTGTTGCTGCCCGTGGTCCGTGGATGCCTTTCTGCTGGGTCGTCCTCAGGGTTAATGCACCTGACAGATGGCAACCCCGAGAGAGCCCCACCTGCCTCTCCACACTCAGCCTCCGTCTGTCCGTCAGTCACCAGCATGTACAGACCTGCTTCATCACAGACCACCTGGAAACCCTGACTCCCCCAACCCCATCCCCTGTGTGCTGGGCACTTGTGTCCTGCAGTCCGCTGCCCTTGCTGGTCATGCAGTGACTTTGGGGCCAGTCTCTATAGGATTGCGCCTCCTGGACCATCGGGTGTGGAGCACCTGGCACTGGCTTGTTCTCAGCCCCGTCTAGAGTGTCACCCCGAGTCCCTGATGTCACTGTGGCCTGTGACCACATCCCCTTTGTCTCAGGTGTTTGCTGTGTGGAAATAAAACAAGTGACAGGCTCGAGTGTGTTGCTGGAAGCGTCTGCGTGCATCCTGCCTGCTGCCAGGTCCCAGGTGCCACTGTGCTGCGGGGGTGGGGTCTGCACAGCCGTTCTTTGCCGTCAGGCTCCGGGGTGCTGGCTGTTCCAGCTGGCAGTCCCACGGGAGCTGGTGTGCCGCTAGGTTGCTGCGTCTGATGCCACCTGACCCTAGAGGCCCCTTGAAGCCCCTCGTGTGTGTCCTCAGGAGCAGAGACAGGGTCCCGCAGGGGGTGGATGCCTCCAGGACTGTGAAGATAGAGCTCATGTCCACTTCCAGGCAGGAGTCAGGCCTCAGTCAGGCAGATGCCAAGTGCCACCAGCAATTCTGTGTGCTGCAAAGGCTGTGAGGAGCCCTAGACTTGGGGGGTAGTCCAGGGCACCTTCCTCTCCCCAGCTCTGCCTGCAGAGATCAGCTGCAAGGGTGGCGTGTGTGGGAGCACCACCTCCACATAGGGGTGTCTGACGACCGCCTAGAGAAGGGGGAGGGCATGGCCTGTGTGGGATCACCGCCTCCACGTGTGTGGGGGGTCTGAGTACTACCTCATGGGGGGAGGGAGGAGAGGACGGGGTGTGTGGGAGCACCCCATCCACATCGAGGTTCTAAGTACCATCTCAAGGAGGGGGTGAGCATTGCCTCCAGATAAGGGGAGGTCTGAGGACCACCTCAAGGAGGGGAGGGGACGGGGTGTGTGGGAGCATCGCCCCCAGAGGAGGAAGGTCTGAGGACCACCTTAAGGGGGGAGTGTGAGCACCGACTCTGACATAGTGCATGGAGGGGACTGGGCTGGGGGGGGGGGGGGACCAATGAGGGAGTTTTTCTTTTGCTTTTCAAGGAGAGGAGCAAATGGGGGGGGGGGGGGGGGGGGGGGGGGGGGGGGCGACCAGGTGAGGGTGGGCCCATGGGAAGGAAAGGAGGGTACTCGGCAGGGGTGACAGTAGTTTCCATCTTGGCCCACTCACCCTGAATAGAGGGGTGTGAGAGCCCCTCCAGAGAGGAGAGCCTGGAGTTATCTGGACTACCCCACCCCCTCAGTCCACCCATTCTTGAAACTGCCGAGTCCACCTGCTCAGTTCCTGAAGGCTTCGGCCCTGTGTCATGGCAGGGTGGCCCTGTGGGCAGAGAATGGGGACCTCAGTGTGGGTGCTGCTGGGGGTGCCGCTCAGGTTGGGCTGGGTGAGGTGTGAGGGACTCCAGGAGGACGCTCGGTCCCTGGGGGAAGGAGGTTCGGCCCCCAGCGGGAGGAGGTTCGGCCCCCAGGGGGAGGAGGCTCGGCCTGGAGAGGTTCGTGGGGTCCCACAGCAGGAGCGATGTGCCCAGAACCTGCTCTGAGTTGACTGAGAGCCACAGGGCCTGAGGGGAGGGTGGCCTGGGCCATGCTGAGATGTGCAGGCCGTAGAGTGAGAGTCTGGAATGCTGGGGAGGCTGGGGCACTTTCGGGGGCTGCCCGTTCCTGACCTGACTGTCCCCATCCTCTCCTCCAGGTGGGCTGGGCTTCAGCCCCGCTCCGTGTGGATCAGCGCAGACATGTCAGGTGAGTGCTCCTTGTCCCCGGGAGGCCGTGGAGCATGCTTGGCCCTTTCGCTGCCCTCAGAGTGTCCCCTCCCAACGGTGGCCTGTGCTCTGTGCACTGGGGACAGGCCCCCTCAGGACCAGCTCAGAGCGCAGGACGCAGAAGGGCCGTGAGAGGGCCCCCCCCCAGCACCGTGCCCCCCACTCATGTCCGCTTTCCTGGTAACCAGCAGGCGGCGCCCTCGCCTGCCCCCTGTCCCCTGCTGTCCACCCTCCAGGACCCCACCGCCCTGCCCACTCCTCTCCTCCAGCCACAGCACTTCCTCCCTCTTGCCTGCCTCCTGCACCGCAGGGCTTTCCCCCTCACCTTCCTTTGAGAGTAGTCCACTGTGACCCCTGACTTCACTCTGCCGCTGACCCCTGGGCTGCTCATTTCCTGTGCCATTTCCCCAGAGCCACGTCCTACCACACGCCCAGCACCTCACCTCTGCGCTGGAGGACAGTCTCCCCCTTTGGCCGGCCCCCCACCCCGTCCACTGTGCCGCCCTGGCTGTCATGCGTCAGGACTTGGGAAGGCCATCCTCGCTTTAGGACCCTCAGTGCTTGGCTCTGGGTTCCCTCCTGTGTTTTCAAGGCCAGTGGCTGCCACCTCCTGCCTTCCTGGAATAAGTAGCCCATGAGCACAGGGCCCCATGATCCGGGATTTCCCTCTAGATGGTCTCCATGTCACCTGACCCTCCGTGTCACCTGACCCTCCGTGTCACCTTCTGCTGGCTGTATTCAGCTCTGTGTCCACGGGCTCTGAGGCCAGCACGGGGAGTCCTCTCTGGGGCAGGTCCTCTCGGATGGAGGTCCTCTCTGATGAGGGTTCTCTGGGGGGTCCTGTCTGGTGAGGGTCCTTTCTGAGCCCCCATGTCCCCACCTCATCTTGGCTTGCCGTGTGTGTTCCTGCAGAAAAAGAGAACAACTTCCCGCCGCTGCCCAAGTTCATCCCCCTGAAGCCCTGCTTCTACCAGAACTTCTCCGACGAGATCCCCATCGAGCACCAGGTTCTGGTGAAGCGCATCTACCGCCTGTGGCTGTGTAAGCCCCGCCGCTGGGCCGTTGCAGGACTGGGGGGCCTCGGGTGGTGCTCTGGGGCTGGGCTCGGCCCCGACTGTCCCCTGGCCTGGGCGGGGGAGAGGATGGTGGCCCCACCGCACTCAGTCACGCTCCCCGGGCCTGCCCGCAGTTTACTGCCTCACGCTGCTGGTGAACCTCGTCGCCTGCCTGGCCTGGTGGATCGGCGGTGGCTCCGGGGCCAACTTCGGCCTGGCCTTCGTCTGGCTCCTGCTCTTCTCCCCCTGCAGCTATGTCTGCTGGTTCCGGCCGGTCTACAAGGCCTTCCGGTGAGTCAGCGGCCGGGGGCAAACGCTGTGGCCAGGTCAGCAGGGTACGGCCCCTCCGGGACAGCCCCGTCACACCAGTGTAGCAGCTTTCCGGTCAGGTCTGGAGCACAGCGCGTGGGGGGCAGTGAGCTGGCCGAGGCCACATCTGTCTGCTGTGTGTTGCTGGGTCTCCTGTGATAACGTGACTCTCTGGAGCTCTGTGGTCAGTGGGGACATGTGACTAAGGCATCCTGCTTCAGACTGAGGTGGGCTGGTCTCAGCCGACAGGTGTCCAAAGCCATCGGGTTCTGGGCCGCTGGACACCCTGCAGAGCCCAGGTCTGACCCAGGTGGTGTCCGAGTGGGGTCCCTGAGTGGGGACTGAGCAGTCAGGACTGCAGTTCTGTCCTCACCACCTCCCCTCAGTGTCCGGCTTCCCCTGGACGCTGTCCACCCCCAGGCAGGTCCTCGGTAACAGCACCTTCCCCTCAATAAAGGTGTGTTCTCCCCCAGGGCCGACAGCTCCTTTAACTTCATGGCGTTCTTCTTCCTCTTTGGGGCCCAGTTCGTCCTGACGTTCATTCAGGCCATCGGCTTCTCCAACTGGGGCGCGTGGTAAGCAGGCCTCCCCGCAGCCTCGTTTTGGAGAGGTGATGGGTGGGCTGAGGGGTCCCAGCGGCTGGGAGGATTGGCTGGGCTTGGCTTCTGGAACTGACTCGATCCTACTCCCTGCACCTATGTGAACAGCCAGCATCTTCAGTGAGACTACACATGCACCCCCACTGCAGGTCAGGGCGCCCCCACGACTGACCAGAGCACCTCACCTGCCAACCAGGGTGTCAGGGCTCCCCACGTTACCACCCGACACCCCCTCCCCATACTGTCGCCCCTCCCCACCTGTCCCCACTCTACCCCAGGGACCCCTCTATCCCCATCCTGCCCCTGACCAGCACTCCGTACTTGTGAGACATGACCCAACCTGCAGTCCTTCAGATGGGGTCCAGGCCATCCTACGCACACGCGCGTGCGCGCACCACAGACACCAGACCATCCTGCATGTACAGACAGGCACCAGATACACATCCACACCCCAACACACACACACACATCCACACCCCAACACACACACACACGTGCGCGCCACAGACACCACAGACACCAAACCATCCTACACGCATACACCAGACACACATTCACACCCCAACACAAACAGGCACACCCCATACACACACCCACACCCTGATTCCTAATCCCCACCCAAACACACACACACGCCACAGACACCACAGGTACCAGACCATCCTACACACACAGATACCAGACACACATCCACACCCCGTACACACACACCTACACCCTAATTCCTAATTCACACCCCAACACATTCTCCTAATCCACACCCCATACACACACACAGACACACCCCATACACACACCTATACCCTAATCCTCACCCTAACACCCTCACCCCCACCCCCATAATCGTGGTCCCAATGCAGAGACCCCCACACACACCTCCCCCATCCACACCCCCACACCTTTTCTGCTGAAGGACCGCCTGCAGTTCCACCACTGACCGCTGGGGGGCTGTGTGGCCCTGTCCTTTGGGGCTTTGCTGCTGGCCGCTCTGTCCCCTGGTCAGCCGACTGTCACCTTCGCCCCAGCCCGTTGTTGGAGCCATTGTGAGTCCATCTCACTGAGCGGGGTCTCTCACTCACTCTCTGCTCAGAGCCGAGCCCCTACAGGCGGTGTGTCCACAGCGTGTGAGCACGTTTTAGCACTCAGAGCAGCGTGGGGTGTCCTTGGGTGAACCGTGTCCACTGAGTGCCCACTACCCCGTGTTGGGGTGTCGCGTGCACATCCTTGTGAGGTGCTCCTGTGAGCCCCTCTGCCTTGTCCGTCCTGGGATGCTGTAGCTGCTCCTGCTGGGCTCCCTGTCCTGCGGGGTACCAGTCCCGCGGGCCCCGCGTCCTGCGGGCTCACTGTGCGTGGGGTGAGCTGATGGAGGAGGGCATGGTGGTCTTCATGGGGCCAACTGCCAGGCCTCCTCTCAGCCCCTGGGTGACCCCGAGCCCTGACCTTTGGGTTAGCATGCAGACACGTGACCTTCAGGTGTCCCAGGTGTCCCTTACTAGAGAAGCCAGGAGTGGGCGTTCTGGGAGTTACAGGGAAGTTAGAGTGGGGCGCAGTGCTTTACCTTCCCTCAGTGCATGCTGCGCCCCACAACTCACCTCAACCCTTGCCTCCCCTCCCCTCCCCCTCACTTCACCTCACCATTCACCTCTGCGCCTCAGGGTTCAGGGACAACCTTTTGTCCTGGGTGGGGCCAGCCCCCCACCTTTTGGTTGGCAGCTGGAGCTCCAGGCTTTGTTGGGACTTCAGTGGGTTCCCTACTCTGATCTTTTCTTTTTTGGGCTTCCTGTTGTGTGTGACCACGCCCTTGGTCAGCAGTTGGTCCAGAACCCTGGTGAGGTCACGTACTTGTATGGTGGGCTTTTGTTTCTGCCAGTTTCCTCTCACTTCATGGAGCCCCCACTCGTCGCTGTGTTGCTGGGCTGAACACACAGGCCAGCAGCCCAACACCCAGCCCATCAGGGGGCTGTCCTAAGACTAAACTCAGCCTGTCGCCCCAGAAAGAGCCCCTGCACCAGCAGCAGACATCCCCACCTGGCCCCGTCATTCTCGCTGATCTCCCCGAGCGGGGCACCTGCACGTGTGGGTGGCCCCTGGCGTGTGGCCCTCTCACTGGGGGCCTGTTTTGACCTGGACACTCTGAGCGTGGACTCCAGGCGTGTGCCCCTCTCACTGGTGGCCTGTCTGGAGCTAACCCTGTGGCACTGGTCATCCCCGTCTTGGTCCTCTTGCTGGCCACTAGTTTGCCGTGTGGACAGAGATCGCATCTTTGTCTGTGGGTGTGTGTGGCCTCGGTTCTGGGGAGTGAGACTGTTACTCGTTACTGTTCTTTTCAGGGGTCCTGAACTTTGAACCACGTGGTTTGAGGGCAATCCCGAATGCCCCTATTTCTAGTCCACACACTGCTCGTGCGGACCCGGGATGCCCGGGGAGTGGGTGGACAGCGGACATCCCCAGAGAATCCTCATGACAAGCAGGCGTCACAGGGTCTGTGGTCACCTGCTGGTCAGCCACACTGTCCCTCCTCTTTGTTGGTTCCTTAACATGCAGTGAAGGACCCTGAAGTGTGGGGCTGCTGACCCAAGGTGGACGGTTGGTGGGACAGTCGGGAAAGGTTTACAGCCTCAGCAGCCCCATGGTGGGTGAGACCTGTCCCGTCCTGTCGCCTGCCGAGAGCGGCCAGGATCCTTGGGCGATGGGCTCGGGTCCATGTGTGGCTCGTGTTATGTGCTTCACGGCCTGTATGACCCCCAGAAGGGCCCCCAGGGCCCTTTGTTCACGGCTCAGAAGGCCTTTCTCATGGGGGCCAGTGGGTGGACGTGGTCTACTCACGTCTGTGTCCTCTCCCAGGTAGAAGTCACTGCTTCTTAGGGGAGAGAGGGGGCCTCACCCCTCAGGTGGCTCCCTCTGCACCTTCTTCCCAGGGGAGTCCCTCTCCCATGGGGTCCGAGGTCCCTGACATGGGGTGCTTGAGTAGCCCCCTCATCCAGTGTGTCTCTTCACTGGGGGTCTGCATGTCACTGCATGTGCATGGTGGTCTCACTGTGCACCTCTGCTGGCCTCATCTCACTGGGTGGCTACCCTGGAGGACAATTGTCCTGTCCACCAGGGGTCACATCCGCCGAGGGTCCCATCTGCCAGGGGTCCCATCCACCAGGGGTCATATCTGCCAGGGGTCACGTCCACCAGGGGTCATATCCGCCAGGGGTCACGTCCACCAGGGGTCATATCCGCCAGGGGTCACGTCCACCAGGGTCATATCCGCCAGGGGTCACGTCCGCCAAGGGTCACATCCGCCAGGGGTCCCTGCCAGGGGTCCCATCCACCGGGGGTCCCGTCCGCCGGGGGTCCCGTCCTCCAGGGGTTCCATCTCCCAGTTGTCCCGTCCACCAAGGGACCCGGACCCACGCGCGCTCTGCCCTCCCTCCTGCAGTGGCTGGCTGGCGGCCATCAACTTCTTCCGGACCAGCGTCTGGGCCGCTGTGCTCATGCTGTTCCCGGCCGTCCTGTTCTCCGTGTCGGCCTTCGCGATGGCCGTGATGCTCTTGAAGGTACGTGCTCAGGGCCCCGTGGTCCCGGGTGGCTCGGCTCGGCTGGTTCAGGACCCGACTGAGAAGCCGACTGGGGCCTCGTAACCCAGCGGGGAGGTCAAGTCAGAGACCTGCCCTCACACCTGAGGCCTTCTTCCAAGGAGGGGTGGATGGCAGGACATGGCGGGGGAGCTTTTACACGTCCTGGGCTCACTGGGCACCACCAGGCCCAGGTTTCAGCTTCTGTGATGCTGATAGACCTCAGTCCTGGCCACACACAGCTGCTTTTGGGCTCCAGGACCGTGTGAGCTGGGAACACGTCTGGTCCCCGAGAGCCGCACACAGTGTTTGCAGACACCGTGCCAGCAGTGCTCCGGGCGCTGAGGACGTGGTGCAGGGAGGCAGGGGGGCCAGTCTTCGTGGGTGTTGGGAGGGTGTGGTTTGGCGAAGCAGCAGGGGTCAGTCTCCCGGACACTGTCTGAAGGCAGGACCGAGGCGTGAGGGTGCTCAGGCCACCACGTTGGCATGTCCACTGGGGGTGCAGTGGACATTGACAGCCAGGCCCCTCACACACGGCCACGGCCTGTCCTTCAGCAAATGCTGGTTGTTGTTAGGGTGCCAGGCTGCTTTCAGTGGGGCTCCTTCTGGGCAGAGCAGGAGGAAATGCCTGGCCGTCAGCTGAGAGCGGCAGTGGGCAGGCTGAGGATCGGCTAGATCAGCTCCTTCATGGGGACAGTGCAGGACTGGGCAGTGTGTCCACTGAGGTCAGGGCCAGCTCAGTGGGCGCCTCCTGCAGATGCCAGGCTGCACTCTCGGGGCCGCTGTACTAAGTGCCTAGAAGCAGGCAGCTTCAGACAGCAGATGCTGGAGATGAGGGTCTGAATGCAGGGCCCCGGCCGGGCTGTGCTCCCCCAGAGGCTTCCGGGGCCCCAGGGGTCCCTGGGCTTGTGGTCACTTCACTCTGGTCCCAGCTCTGTCCACATGGTGCTCTTGCTGCTCGGGCACTATTTGCTGGGTCTGGGCATGAGCCGACGTGCGTGGGTGGTTACATCAGAGAAGATCTGTGACCACAGTCACGCTCAGGGACAGAACGCCTGTCCCCTGGAGCGTCCTGCAGACATCATGCTGGGGGCACCCAGCCCAGGTCACAGGCAGGTGAGCTCCACGGTCCAGGAAGACAGCCCTGCGGGGGTGACTGGAAGGAGGGCGGGAGAATAGGTTAGGAAGTTACTGGAAGAGGCCTCTGAGTCCAGGTGGATCCCAGGTCTGATCCAGAAAGAAGTGCCTGGTTCCGGTCATGAACTTCAACCACAGGGGAAGGTGTCCAGCCAGAAACCACCAGAAACCAAAGTTGTTGGTGACGCAGGAGATCCAGGACAAGATTCCCCGGAGCCCGGTCTCCTGGGCCTCACACGATGGGGCCAGTGTCAGGGTCCCAGGGACAGTCACACCCAGCGGTAGACCCTCACAGTGTGTGACACACCAGCGTCTACTGAGGAAGGGGACTCCAGGGGCAGAGTGCGCCGCCCAGTGGGTCACCAGAACCAGCCCCGTTTCTGCCGTGACAGAACACTTAGCTGGAGGAGGGAGACTGGCGGGCCTTCTGTCTGGTGCACGCAGGGCCCTTGTTGAGGGAGCCCGGCCCAGGCAGTGTTCAGGTGCTCGGAGCCAGCCAACAGGTGAGCAGTCCAAGCCCACCGCCGTTCTGAGGGAGGACGTGAGGAGTCTGCTCTCCGAAGGTCCTCCAGGCCGCTGGGCAAGTGGACTTGACCGCCGCAGGTGTGTGGTTTGGCGCCTTACGGGTTATCTGTCCCCACACGGGGCAGGGAGGCCCTGAGGACAGGGATTGTCTGGCCTCCTTGAAGGTCCTGTCACCTTTGTGAGTAGAATGCTGTGACCTGGGAGTATGTGGCCTCTGTCCTAACTCATGCTGTCCCTCTCTCCCTCAGGTTCACAGGATCTACCGAGGGGGTGGAGGAAGCTTCGAGAAGGCACAGACGGAGTGGAACACAGGCGCATGGCGGAATCCACCGTCCCGAGAGGCCCAGTACAACAACTTCTCGGGCAACAGCCTGCCCGAGTATCCCACTGTGCCCAGCTACCCGGGCGGCGGGGGCCAGTGGCCCTGAGGGACCCCAGTCCTGCCTCCCCACCCTGGCTGCAGGGTACTGCTGGGTCCTGGGATCTGTCCCCACAGTCCCCTGGGAGGCAGCTCCATGCCCTCTCCAGTGGCCACTGGTCCCACTAGGGTGTGAGTTGGGGTCTCCCCACCAGGCCACTGGCCATGGGAGGTTTAGGGGGCTGTACCATGTTCTTCTCACAGGAGTGGGCTCCAGCCAGGGGGACCCCCTCGTGCCCTGCAGCAGCCTGTACTGTCTTTATCGCTTTCGCACCAAGGTTGCAGGGTGCTGACTAATGGGACCCCTTCCACAGCCGAGAACCCCCAGTGCCGTGTTCACCCCTCCGCCTTTGACAGAACAGGCCTTAGCCCTGAAGCCAGGAGCCGACCCCAACAGGTGGCATCCGGTTCCTCTGTGCTGTAGCCAGAGCACCAGGTGGGCTCCCTGGGCAGAAGGGGCCTTGGCTGTCCGCTGTGCCATCCACTGCCTGCCCTGAGAACACCGGGAACATAGACTGTGGGGTGAGAGCGTGCGTTGGGGATGTGTCTGTCACGGGCCACAGAAGCTCGGGGCTGTGACCTTGCCGGGAGCTGGTGTGGGAGAGCATCCCCCAGACGAGAATCCGTGCCTTACCGGGGAGTCAGAGCCAGCGCCCGACGGGGGGTGAGGACGTGGAGCACAGCTGCTCCCCCCTCCAAGGTCGGGGTCTGCTTGGGGAGCAGGTGGGCCGTACCCCACCCATCCTGAACCCTGTAACCGTCCGCACAGCTGCCACACTGACCCCTGAACCGCGGTCCTTCCAGACCTCAGTGGTTCTGTCCCCATAGGCCTGCCCAGTCGCAGGGACTGTCCCTGTGCCCGCCTTCCCCAGGGGCTGCCTGTGCTTCTGTGTCCAGAGATGGCCTGGCCGGTGTCTGAGGATGTGGAGGTCCAGAGGTGGCCGCGCCCAGTGTGGTGGACGTGCCTCGGTGGCCAGGCCCCTCCTGCCCGCGCTTGTACCGCACCTTTGTTAGGTTCTGGTCTTTTGTTACATGAGTTCTCCTGGAATAAACACCCTCTTTGCATCACGCTGTGTGTGGTAGCTGTGGTCGTGCACGCGTGCGTGTCCCTGCAAGTCGTGTGACCACGCACGTGTGTGCACATGCGCCAGTGAGCCTGTGTGCGCTGCCCACCGAAGTGGTGGCATGGGGACCCGCCTCCACAGCACAGTGCAGGACTGAGCTGGCCTTGTCCGCAGAGTGGCACTGTCCTCTGCCCGGTGCTGCCCAGCGCCCTAGGAGTCAGTCACGCCCAGGGCCACTTCCGCCGGTCCCTGGGCGGAAACCAGGCTGTTCCCCGCCGGGCGGTGCAGGGAAGGCTCCTTTTTCTCTGAAACAACCTGTCACTATGATCATATGTTAACAGAGAAAAAAGCCAGCCAGCACAGAACCAGAAACCCTTCTAGCTGGTGTTGAACAAACAGACTTGTTCATGGGGCGAGGGTGACGCGACTCAAGTGGACATTAGAATAGCGCGAGGGCTGGGCCAGCGGCTGGCCACCCTCACGGGTGCTTCCAGCACCTCTGTGGGGTGCAGGTCGGCGCTCCCACGGGCTGCAGGTGGCCAGCATGGGGATGGAGAAGCAGGGCACCGCACGTCCCGGGCCACTCGGGGTTTTGGGCTGTGAGTCACGGGGGAGAAGATGGGGCGTCTCTCCTGCAGAGCTGCCGTGGGTTTGAACCGCCAGAGACGTTGGCTGCTCAGCTGCCCGCCCACAATGCACCGGGCTTCTCTTCTCCACTCATGGGCTTTATTTCGTGTGTTGAATTTTCATTTAAGTTTCTATGTTGTTTTCTTAACATACATGCTTTATTTTATCCTTCCTAGTTATTTTTTGTGTTTTACATGTTCAGATTTCACTGTATCCCATTTTTAGGAAATCTCGTTATGCTTGTTAATCACTTGTAGCTGGCATTTAATCCATTTTAGTTGACATTTCCTTTGCATTTACTGTATCAATTTACTGTTTAAAAATCTATACCTTTTTTTTTACTGTCTTTAAAATTCTGTCCCTTTCTGTTTACTTTGTGTCATTTTGTTTTACTGTTATGGCTTTCGGATTGACGAGTGCTCTGTAAGCCGCAGGAGGACGGACTCCTTGTTCACACATGAATTTGGGCTGGTCAGTTGCGTGGGCATTGGCTGAAGGCCAGGCTTGGCCCTGAAGGCCACAGCGACCCCTCCCTCTGTCCTGGTCATTGCCCTGATGGTTCCCTCTGTGCCCCTGTGAGGAGAAGGCAGGCCAGGGTCATCTGCTCAGTTTTGGTTCTGAGCTGCCCCCATCTGTTTGCATCTTTTCTCCTTTATAGATCATTTCCTGTGGTTTCCCTTCTCACTTGGAGATCATGCTCTTCTCACAGAGCCTCGCTGCATGCTGCCCTGGTGTGTCCAGCACCATTCTCAGCTGCTGTCCTTTGGGGGACTCCTTCCTGTGTCTGTCCTGGCTTCGCTCCCTCCCTCCAGTGCTGGCCCAGATTCTGTGTGTCCAGGTCCCCCGAGGCCCAGGAACCCATCAAGACTCTGAGAAGGGGTGTCTCGGTGAAGGATGAGGCACAAGCTGCCAGCTCTCAGGAGCCTGAAGTCCCTAGGAAAACCCATTGCAATGTGAAGACCTGTTTGGGGTGTCTGCCATGGGGTGCTCCTTGGCCCTGGAACTGGCCTTCGCAGTCCCCACTGTACTCAGCACTTTGCTGAAGAACCCGCACTCTCTTGAGTGCCTTGTGGGGGACAGCTGTACTGGCATTGGCTTTGGCACAGGAGGAAGACCACCCAGGAGTTGTGAAGCAGCTTCCTCCACGGCTCCCAGAGCCCAGGAAGCCCGTGAAGACCCCAGGTCGTATGAGGATGCCCAGAAAAGCAGCCTGGGGGTGCTCTGATGAGGCAGAGAGCTCAGCACTGCAGGGATGCTCTCAGCTCCAGAGGCCAGCACGTCAGCCAGCAGGGTGGGAGCAGGGCCTCGGTCCCTGGAGGTGAGAGGTCCTGGGGAGAGCCTTCCTCGTCCAGCCCCTGGTGGACCTGCACATTGCTGGCCTTGTTGATATTTCTGACTTCTTTCAGAGACTTTCCCAACAAGGTCACATTCCCAGGAACCTTAACATTTTCTTAGGGGAGCACAGTTCAATTCACTACCCTGGGCGGGGGTTCTACCACAGGGGCCAGGGGTTCCAGAGCCCAAGATGCCCCTCAGTTCTGCAGCCCAATGTAGTTGATCTGGCTCTTGTGCTCCAGAAGAGGGGACCACCTCAGCAAGTGTCCCTGGTCGCCTAGGGAGCTGCCTCCTGTGTGTGCCTTCGAGTCGGAACAGACTCAGCTGACCCTCCAGCAGGTTCTCAAAGGCAGCAAATCGCACGGAAAACAGCCCACCTTTCTCCCGTGGGGCAGCTGGTGGCTTTGAACTGTAAGCCTTTGGGATTGCAGTCCAGCTTCTTACCACTGGGCCACCAGAGCTGTTGTTAGGGGCTGTCACGTCAAGTATGACCCACAGTGACCCTATTAGCAACAGAGCTGCGCCCTGTCCTGTCTGCGCCGTCCTCCTCCTCCCTGACACGGGCCCACTGCTGCAGTCACCGTGGGAGTCCACCTGGGTGAGGGGCTTCCTCTCACGGCCCCTCCACTTCCCGAGCAAGGCAGGAAGGAAACGAGGAGTCCAAGGGACAGCTCCACGACTGAGAGTGGGATCCTAGGGGTTGGGAAACAGGAGGAAAGGGCCCTGCTCCTCGCCCTCCGCCCCGTGCCCTGGCGTCTGCCTGGCGTCTACCTGACACACACCTCACCCAGCACTTGTTCAAACAGCTTGAGGAAACACGTTAAAAGGGTAAGGACGACATAGAGCCAAGGTGGTTTTCAGAAGACAGAGCCTGGATGAGACCAGGTGACACACATGCAGCCAGAAGCTGACACTGTGACCAAAGAAGGCTGTGGGATTCGAACCAGCGACCAGGGAACATAGTCGTGCGCCAGCCGCCCAGCGTTTGCCACCCCTCCTGCACTGGAGCCGTGCACGCAGAGGGGTGGGAGAGCTGCAGCCTTTCCACTGGAGCTGTGGGACACCACGCTCTGAACCCATGAAAAGTACCCTTCCCTGGACTGGCTGCCACCAAGCTCTGTTGTTATGTGCCGTTGAGACCCTTGTGACTCATAGCGACCCTATGTACAACAGCCCTAAACTCTGCTCTGTCTTGTGCCAATCGCACTGTCTCCCATCCTGATTACCCCAGTCACCGAATCAATCCACCTCATAGAGGGCCTTCCCCTCCTGCGCTGTCCCTTCACCCTCCCAAGTATGATGTCCCTCTCCAAGGACCTGTCTCTCCTTACAACCTGTCCAGAGTATGTCAGACAAAGCCCCAGAATCCTTGCCTCCAAGGAGCAGCCTGGTTTAACCCCCTCCAGGATGAATCTGTTTTCCTAGCAGTCCATGGTACATTCAATACTCTTCTCCAGCACCACAGCTCAAAAGCATCCTGCCATGTGCCTGTGGACGGCTGCCCCAGCCATTGCCTGGCACCCAGCCACCTTGCCACGATAAACAGGACTGCAATGCCTGGTGGCCGGAGTGGACTCACAGACAGGCCCACAGGCTCAGTCCTGGCAGCGGGATGATGTTTTTGTTAAGTGAGTCAAGGCCGGTACGACGCCTACTGACCCTGGGAACAGATCTGCACCCTGTCCTGCCCCGTGCCATCTTCATAATCTGACACTCCTGAGCCCCCCGTGTGCCTTCCTCACCATCCTCATCGTCTGACACACCCGAGCCTGCTGCTGAAGTCACCATGTGAGTCCATCTCATTGATGGACTTCTCTCTCTTGCTGACCTCCCACCTTTCCAAGCATCAAGTCCTTCTGTCAACATGCCCAGAGCATGTGAAATGAAACTTCCCCATCCTTTACCCCAAGAAGCGCACTGGTTACACTTCCTCCAAGACTTACCTGTTCTGGCAGCACATGAGATGCTCAGGTCTCTTCACCAC